TTGTTCTGTTTCTGTTAATCTAGTTTCCCTGCCCCCTTAGATTCTCTTCTTTGTTTTAAAGTAATTGTTGACCATTTGGTCTCATATGGGTGAATTTGTAAAGGAGCACAGGTGATATTCACTATTATTATTATTATTATTATTATTATTGAGTCAATTTGTTATTTAGCCATAAGGTGACCTCAAGGGTTAGTTCAGTTCAGAGTTTGAAGAATATCTCAGGGCAGTAGTCTCAGGGATCACTCCTGTCTCAACCAGTCCAGTAGGTCTGTTTTTTGTTTTTGTTTTGTCAGGAATTTGAGGTTCTGTTCCACATTCAGACCAAAGAATCGTAATATTGCTCTTTAGAAGTTACGTGGTAAATGGGAGCTCAAAGAATCCAGGAGCAAGAGAAGAGGGCCACCAGAGGGAGCAGCTCCCATCAGCAAGCACATAGAGAAATGCTTCCCTTGTAACACCCTGAACTCAGACTTCTAGCCTCCTAAACTGTGAGCTCTGGTAGCGTAGTGCCTAAGGCACTTGCCTGCAAACCAAAAGGCTGGAGGTTCAAACTCACCAGCCACTCCTCGGAAGGAAGATGGGGCAACCTACTTCTGTAGTGATACTGCCTCGGAAACCCAAGGAGGACTCTCTATGAGTCAGGTCTGACTTGATGGCACATAACAACAACAAACTGTGAGAAAATACATTTCTGTTTGTTATAGCCGCTCACTTGCGGAATTTCTGTCATAGCAGCACTAGGTACCTAAGAAGAACTGTGGTAGCGTAGTGCCTAAGGCACTTGACTGCTCACCAGAAGGCCGGCGGTTCAAACCCACCAGCCACTCCTTGGAAGGAAGGTTGAGCAATCTACTTCCGTAGAGATACTGCCTCAGAAACCCAAAGAGAGGTCGCTGTGAGTTGGAAGCAACTCCATGGCGGTGAGTTTGGTTTTTGAGTTTGAGATGACTAAGAGCCTCCAAATGTTTATCAACAGATTGCATACATTGTGATATTCTGGAGAGAATTTTCTGCTAACAAGCAGCCTCTGAATAGGTAGACTATGGGAAAACCCCAACCTCTCCGCTCACTCACCACTTAAAAGAGGACTGTACTACCAGATAACTTTTTATTATTGTATTTTTTATTATTGTAACTTTTTATTAGTGTATTAGTTAGTTACTGTTGGGTCAGTTATGCCCCATGTGGTCCCATGTACGCAGAATAGAACTGACGGTTTGAAGGCTGTGACTTTTTGGAAGCAGATCACCAGACCTGTCTTCTGAAGCCCCCCTAGGTGGGTTCAAACGGCCGATATTTCAGTTAGTAGTCAAGCACTTAACCATTTGTGCTACCCAGGGGGCTCCACGTTTTAATCACACAAATAAAATAAGAATACCTTCTTGCAAAATCTTCAACATTTCCTTCCTGTCTATCCCTTGTCCCATCTAATGCCCACCTCAGAGGGAACCACTGGGCCAGTTCCCTGTATATTTTCTCCCCACGTTCTCATATGCACACTCTCTCACTCTCTCATTCTTTGCATTGTCTGTGACTTGTTTTTCTCACTTGATTCATTGACTACTGATAAATATACCTATGTGTCAAGCAAACATGAGAGATACTAAAGAAGTATAACATGGTTCCTGCCATCAGGGAATTTTCAATTTTGTCAGAGTCAAGACATACCCATAAAAATAATTAGAGAACATTTTAGGAGCATATGCCGTCAAATACTCAACAGTGTGGTGCACACACTAGATGCAAACATTTTTAAAGGTTGGCCTTGTCTCTGGTACTCCTTGCTCTATCCTCAGCACCTAGAAGAGTGTAGGAGGAAGCAGGCAGGAGCTGAGAACCGTATTTTCCACATATAACGTGCCCATGGAAATAGCATTCACAGATTCTTAGGAAACATGCTCATAGGAAACTAACATGCAAGGGAATTATGCAGTTTGCAAAAAAAAGCATATAACACACTTGTTATTTGTGTAAGAATACAGTAATTAATTGAATATTGAATGAATCACTCATTTACACATGCTCTCCTCTCTGGTGTCTCACTGCTCATTCATCCTGAAGGTGATCCCTGGGAGACTCTGTTCTACGAAGTGACACTTAGACAGGACCCATCTGAGAATCTTGGGGCTCTCTAACCAGCTCAGGTTACAACCTAATGGAAGGCTCACAGACACAGCTCGTATCTCTCAGCAAGTATTCTAGTGTCTAAAATAACTTCTTACGTAAGTGCTGTTATTAACTGCCCACTAGTTGACCTGAACTCATGGCGACTCCATGCACAATAGAATTGGACTAGTGTGATCCCTGGGGTTTTCACTGGCTCGTTTTTCAGAAGTAGATTGCCAGACTTTCACTGTAGTCTGTCTTAGTCTGGAAGTTCCACTGAAACCTGTTCAACAACAGAGCAACATACACTGCACTGACATGGGTGTGGCTGTGCTTGGGGTGCTTTTCGCTGGGAATTGAACTCAGGTCTCTGACATAGGAGGCAGGAAGTCCAACACTGAACCCCCATTGCCTTCTCTTACGTCAGTTGTTGTTGTTGTTGTTGTTGTTGTTATGTGCCGTAGAGTTGGACCCGACTCATAGCAACCCCTCCTTGGGTTTCTGAGGCAGTATCACTAACGGAAGTAGATTGCCCCATCTTCCTTCCGAGGAGTGGCTGGTGGGTTTGAACCACCAGCCTTCTGGTTAGCAGTCAAGTGCCTTAGGCACTGCGCTACCAGAGCTCCCCTTACATCAGTAGGTCCTTGTTAAATTCCACCAAGTAAACTAACTGGGGAAGAAGAGTCTGAAGGAAGAGAGAGTAGGCATTTGGCCTAAGCAAATGGAGAAGTGTTCCAGAAACCTGCAAACTGACAGCCAGGAAATACCAGCGGCTGTGGATTCCAGGGAAGAAGCTGGTGCCCTAGTTACTTGTCTAGCCTTTTAAAACACATCATTTTCTTTCTGATTTTAAGTTAATGGTAGAAAATTTTGGGGAAAAAAAAATCGTAGTACAGAAAAGCAAGTAAACATACTAGTAAACCATTACTCAGAGGTAATTACTATTTACATTTTTGTAAAAATGTTACCTTGTAATCTTACTTGAACTTCACAGAAAAAAAGACCTAAAACTTCAGATACATACATCTTCCAAATAAGAGATAGATTAGTAAAAAGGCCTATCTAAAATGAAAGAATTAAGAGACACATTAAGATTGCATTAGTGCAGGGGTTTGCAAGCAGAGGCGATTTTGCACCCCAGGGAAACATTTTTTGTCTTCCCAGCTGAGGGTGTGGTGGAGTGATGCTAGTGACCTTAGGCCAGGGATGCTGCTAAACATTCTATAATGACAGGACTTTTTGTTGTTGTTATTATGTGCAGTCGAGTTGGACCCTACTCATAGCGACTCCTCCTTGGGTTTCCGAGGCAGTATCTCTATGGAAATAGATTGCCCAACCTTCCTTCCAAGGAGTGGCTGGTGAATTTGAACCGCCAGCCTTCTGATTAGCAGTCAAGTGCCTTAGGCACTATGCTATCAGAGCTCCTATAGAGTCCTTGGATGGCACAAATGGTTAAGCACTTGACACGAACTGAAAAGCTGGCAGTTCGAAACCACCCAAAGGTACGTTGGAAGACAGACCTGGTCATCTGCTTTCAAAAGGTTCAGCCTGGAAAACCCCATGGAGCAGTCCTACTCTGTACACCTGGAGTCACTGTGAGTTGGAATCCATTCATTGGCAATTAACATCAACAACAAGTTTGTTTCCGGTTGGTAGCTTTCTCCAGGATCGTGAAGTAAGTGGTAAGAGCATGGCCCCCAGCCTGGTAGTCTGAGTTTGAACCTGACTGTGCCACTTATCAGCAAAGGGTCCTTGTACAACCTTTGTGGGCCTCCATTTCCTCCTCTGTAACATTGTGATAATGTTAAAAAAACAACAGTTGCCATGGAGTTGATCCCAGCCCACGGTGCCCCACATGTGTCAGAGTGGAACTAGGTTCCACAGGGATTTTGGAAATAGACTGCCAGGCCTTTCTTCCATGCCACCTCCAGGTGGACTTAAGCATTAGCCGCTGAGCGTGTCACTGTTTGGCCACCCAGGGCCTACTAGTGATGCTAAGCCTATTTTATATAGCTGTTGTGAGGATTGAATGAGCTGTTATAAGTGCTGGATCAATGTCTGGTTTGTGGAAGGCTCTATGTAAATACTTGTTATTATTGATGCCTTACATAAACTCAACTTAAATGAAACTCAATTAAGCCTACTTTTAAGATAATTCTCTTTGAGAATTTAATAGAGAAAAGTAGGCCTGTGAGTAAACCATTTAGAAAGTGAAACCTTTAAGAATAATAAACAAAATTAATTTATAGTTGAAAATGAATATGGCTGGGGCCCACTTATCATCTAAAAAGTATATCTAGGAATTCAGAGGTGCAGCAAGGTTTTCTGCCTTCTGGAATTATCTTATTAAGGATGGATTGTCATTGTTTCAGAAAATTCCATTCTGTTTTTAAGGTACTGAGTTATCATGTTTACTTATCTGCCTCCAACCGAGGTCCTATCTGTCTTAACCAGGGTCAGGGTGATAGTTGAGCTTTCATTCTATTCAGTTATTAAGGAACTGAGTTACCATATTTACTTATCTGCCTTCAACCAGGGATGCAGGCTGAACTTCGACTCCACTTGGCTTCATTATTTCACTGAATGCCCCAGTTTCTCTAAAACCCTGGACCCCAAGTATCTGGACCTCAGTGTGTTTCAGCTCACCATGTTTTTCCTAAATCTCACTCTTCCAAGAACTTCAGTTCCCCTGGTTCCATCAGATACTTGTTCTCAATATTCTAGTTCCTTGTGTGTTTGGCACCACAGGACATACCAGCACTTACTCCCACACAGTGTACTTGTGCCCAATCCACTTGCTCTGGTAGGGTCATCAGACCCTTCTGATCCATTTCCTCTCCTTACCTGCCTGCCTGGTTGAGCTTCAGTTATTCAGCTTTGGTTGAACCTTACAGGTGCTGAACAAGGCCAAGTATGGGCCAATGTGGATGACCCGTGTAGGGTCTCAAAGCCATGTGAACCTGGCCAGTGCCCAACTCCTGGAAGAAGTGATGCGGCAGGAAGGCAAATACCCAATGCGGAATGACATGGCACTATGGAAGGAGCACCGGGACCAGCAGGGCCTGTCGTACGGGATCTTCACCACGTGAGCCAGGGACTGAAAGGGCAGTAGCAAGGGCCCAGAGGGCCAGGCCCAAGGACAGTGTGCACTGGGCAGTCAGTTGAATAATGGGCAGGGTGTCTTCTGGACCTGATACTCAACCTAGAAAGCAGTGGTTGGGTTCAGCTAAAGCCCAGAGACCATGCATTGGCTTTTCCACCAACATACTGTATGATCTTGGACAAATGAATATTTTCCCCTTTCTTGGTTTTATGTTGCTCATCTGAAAAATAGCCAGGTGTGAATAAGAGCACTTCCAAGGCATATCTAAAGCTCTTTACAACTCCAATATTCTACATTATGGCTAAAAATACATCAATACTCAAATTATAATGGGACATATCTGCTAATAGGTGAAGAAATACACCATACAAGTTTAAAAATTTGCTCAAATTATGTATTGTTGTCAGATACTGATTTCATGAATGCTCTCTACACACAGAGATGGATGTAGGTCTTGAAGTCACACCTAGAAAAGTTCAGTTATTTTGTCTGTAAGCAAATTGAATTATAGGTTGGGTTGTTCTTAACTCATGTGCCAACTAAAGTACATCATTGTTAATCATTGGAGACAAACCATTCCCAGTGTCATAGACTGTAATTTGATATGTTATGGGCTTCTTTTGCTACAGCATGTTAGTAGAGTTCCAAAAACAAAGAATGACTTATTACCCCCTGCTCCCATCCCCCAGTTGCTTGGCATCATGTTTCAGTCACTTCATTAAGGGGGTAAAGTTCATCTGGTATTGGCAGTAGCAGCAACAATGATAACTAACTATGTGCCAGTTATCACATAATTCCTGCCAGTGAATCAGGCTAAGCTGTTTACATTTATTATTTCATTTTATCCTCACAACAAACTTTTGAAGTAGATAGTGTTATTAACCCCATTTTATAGATGAACACCACCACTTGTCTGTCAGTTTATTGTACTGGGTGGCTTGCATGTTGCTGACACTGGAAGCTATGCTACCAGTATTTCCAATATCATCAGGGTCACTCACGGTGGACAGGTTACAGTGGAGCTTCCAGACTAAAATGGACTGAGAAGAAGGAAGGGACCATCCACTTCTCAAACAATTGGCCTTGAAAACCTTATGAATAGCAGTGAAACACTGTCTGATATATTACTGGAAAATTTATGAATAGCCCTGAAACATTGTCTGATATAGTGCCGGAAGTTGAGCCCCTCAGATTGGAAGGCACTCAAAATACAACTGGGGAAGAGCTGCCTCCCCAAAGTAGAGTTGACCTTAATGATATGGATGGAGTAAAGGTTTTAGAACCTTCATCTGCTGATGTGGCATGACTCAAAATGGGAAGAAACAGTTGTAAACATTCATTAATAAATGGAACATGGAATATACAAAGTATGAATCTAGGAAAATTGGAAGTTGTCAAAAATGAGATGGAATGGGTAAAGATCGATGTCCTAGACATTAGTGAGCTGAAATGGGCAGTAGTACCCATTTTGAATTGGAAAATCATATGATTGACTGTGCTGGGAATGACAAATTGAAGAAGTATGGCATCACACGCATCATTACAAAGAATCTTTCAAGATCTGTCCTGAAGAACGATGTTGTCAGTGATAGGATAATATCCACGTGCCTACAAGGAAGAGCAGTCTATACGAGTATTATTCAAGTTTACATGTCAACCACTAAAGCCAAAGGTGAAGAAATTAAAGATTTTTACCAATTTCTGCCATCTGAAATTGACAAAACCTCCAATAAAGATGTATTGATGATTACTGGTGATTGAAATGTAAAAGTTGGAAATGAAGAATCACCAGTAGTTGGAAAATATGGCCTTGGTGATAGGAATGATGCTGAAGATTGCATGATAGAATTTTGCAAGACCAACAATTTATTCATTGCAAATACCTTTTTTTCAACAACATAAATGGTGACTATACACGTGAACCTCCCAGATGAAATACACAAGAATCAGATTGACTACATCTGTGGTAAGAGGCAATAGAGAAGCTCAATATCTTCAGCCAAAACAAGGCCAGGAGTTGATTGTGGAACAGACCATCAATTTGCTTATATGCAAGTTCAAATTGAAGCTGAAGAAAATGTAAACAAGTCCATGAGAGCCAAAATATGATCTTGATTACATCTCACCTGAATTTAGAGATCATCTGTAGAATAGATTTGATGCACTGAACACCAGTGACCAAAAACCAGATGAATTGTGGGATGACATCAAGAACGTCATTCATGAAGAAAGCAAACAGTCATTAAAAAGATAGGGAAGGAAGAAAAGACCGAAATGGATGTAAGAAGACACTCTGAAACTTGCTCTTGAACGAAGAGTAGCTAAAACAAATGGAAGAAACAAAAAGATAAAAGAGCTGAACAGAAGATTTCAAAGGGCAGCTTGAGAAGACAAAGCAAAGTATAATAATGAAATGTGCAAAGACTGGGAGTTAGAAAACCAAAAGAGAACACACCTAACATTTCTCAAGCTGAAAGAACTGAAGAAAAAATTTAAGCTTTGAGTTGCAATACTGAAGGATTCTATGGGCGAAATAGTGAATGATACAGGAACTATCAAAAGAAGATGGAAGGAATGTAGAGAGTAACTGTACCTAAAGAATTGATCAATGTTCAGCTATTTCAGGAGGTAGCATATAATCAAGATCCAATAGTACTGAAAGAAGAAGTCTAAGTTGCACTGAAGGAATTTGCAAAAAATAAGCTTCCAGGAACTGATGGAATATCCATTGAGATGTTTTAACAAACGGATGCAGTGCTGGAGCACTTGTCTAAGCCAAGAAATTTGGAAGATAGCTACCTAGCCGACTGACTGGAAGAAATCAATATTTGTGCCCATTCCAAAGAAAGGTGATCCAACAGAATGTGGAAATTATTGAACATATCATTAATACCACATGTAAGTAAAATTTTGCTGAAGATAATTCAAAAATAGTTGCAGTAGCATATTAACAGAGAAGTTCCAGAAATTCAAGCCAGATTCAGAAGGGGACATGGAACAAGGGATATCATTGCTGATGGCAGATGGATCTTGGCTGAAAGCAAAGACCACCAGAAAGATGTTTACCTGTGTTTTATTGACTATGCAAAGGCATGTGACTGTGTGGATCATAACAAATTATGGATAACATTGCAAAGAATGGGAATTCCAGAACACTTAATTGTGCTCATGAGGAACCTGTACATAGACAAGAAGGCTGCCATTCAAACAGAACAAGGGGATACTACATGGTTTAAAATCAAGATCCTTTCAATGTACTTATTCAATCTGTATGCTGAGCAAATAATCTGAGAAGCTGGACTGTGTGAAGAAGAAAGTGGCATCAGAATTGGAAGAAGACTCATTAACAACCTTAGATATGCAGATGAGACAAGTTTGCTTGCTGAAAGTGAAGATGACTTGAAGCACTTATTGATGAAGATCAAAGACTACAGTTTTCAGTATGGATTACACTTCAACATAAAGAAAAACAAACTCCTAACACCTGGACCAATAAGCAACATCACAATAAATGGAGAAAAGATTGAAGTTGTCAGGGGATTTTGTTTTACTTAGATCCACAATCAACACCCATAGAAGTAGCAGGCAAGAAATCAGACGTTGTATTAGACTGGACAAATCTGCTGCAAAAGACCTCTTTAAAGTGTTAAGAAGCAAAGATGTCATTTTGAAGACTAAGGTGCACCTAACCCACGCCATGGTATTTTCATTTGCTTCATATACATGTGAAAGCTGGACAATGAATAAGAAAGACCAAAGAAGAGTTGATGCTTTTGAATTATATTGGTGAAGAATACTAAAAATACCATGGACTGGCAGAAGAACAAACAAATCTGTCCTGGAGGAAGTGCAGCCAGAATGCTCCTTGGAAGGAGAATGCCAGGTTTTGTCTCACCTACTTTGGTCATGTTGTCAGAAGGGACCATTCCCTGGAGAAGGATATCATGCTTGGTAAAGTGGAGGGTCAGCAAAAAAGGGGGAGACCCTTAACAAGATGGATTAACACAGTGGCTGCAACCCTGGGCTCAAGTATAGCAAGGATTGTGAGGTTGGCACAGGAGCAGGCAGTGTTTCTTTCTGTTGTACGTAGGGTTGCTGTGAGTCAGGGTTGATTCGAAGGCAACTAACAACAACTATTGGGAGAGTTTCACTTTTGCAGAAGCACCTACAACCTGAATTTACAATAAATGAGTCTACCCTGGTTTTTATTTCTTTTTCAGCAACACTTTTCGTTTATCTTTTTGTAGTTTCTGCCCAACACAATAAAGATAGAGCACCCAGCAGTTCATTTTAGTAAACAATTTAAAAATATAAAAAATCTAATTCTTGACTTAAAAGTTTTTAATGTGTTTCTTTTGAAGTACTTTATTGGAAAAGTGATGCATGCGTAATGTAAAAATTCCAATAATAAACAAAATATTAAGTCTCCCTTCCCCCAACTCCAGTCTCATCCTACTAAGGAACCAAGGCTAACAGCTTAGTCATATTAGTGTACCTGACTTACTTAGAAGCAAATTTATATGTGAATATGTAGGGTTTCCTGTTTCTCTCTCTCTTTCTTTTTTTTCTCTTAAAACTAGACTATACTGTACTTTTACTCTGCAATTAGCTTAAAAAACAAACAAAAAACCATGAACAAAATACACTCATGGCCAGCTTGCTTTGGAAAGATGACAGGGTTAGGGGATAGCTGAGGTTGAAGGCTGCTCCTGAGTGTCAAGCCATAATATGAGAAACATGTTCTCACTCAGGTGAGCATCTATCTCTACCTAGTCAGGGTAGGGGCCCTACTGTCCACTAGATTACACCCTGTGACAACAGGGTCGAGGGGTCAGCCTGGTGGGCCTCTCTGTCCCCTGACCCACAGAGTCTAAAGAGCTAGAACCTGAGCACCCAGGGGTCCTCATTTGCTCCTCCTCTGTTGCTCAGCCTCCACCCAGACAAACTGAATCCACCACTGCTCCCTCTCATTGCATGTATGGAAGATCCTGGAGTGGCATAATTCTCAGATAATCATAGTCAACATCCATTAAGCATTTCCCATGTGCCAGGCACTGATCTAAGCACTTTAATCATCTGAACAACCATACAAGATAGGCATGCTTATTATCCCTATCTTACAGATGGGGAAACTGAGTCACAGAGGAATTAGAGTAATTTGTCTAAGGTCATCCTGCTAGTAATCGCCAGAACTGTGATTTGACCCTGTTGTGGTGGTGTTGTTATGTGCCGTCGAGTCGGACCCGACTCATAGCAACCCCTCCTTGGGTTTCCGAGGTAATATCACTACGGAAGTAGATTGCCCCATCTTCCTTCCGAGGAGTGGCTGGGGGATTTGAACCACCAGCCTTCTGGTTAGCAGTCAAGTGCCTTAGGTACTACACTGCCAGAGCTCCTGATTTGACCCTAGGCAGTGATTGTAGATGCCTAGCTTAAGCACTCCACTGTGTTTAGTGGGATTTTGAAGTTTGGTAATTCTATCATAAATCTAGAAGTCTAAGATTCTCCTAAACTCCGCAGGCATCTCAGGGTGGGAAGATACCATGTAATCTAATGCCCATGTGATGCTCACAGTGCTGCTGCTCCTCCATTTCCCCACAGGGAAGGGCACCAGTGGTACCACCTGCGTCAGGCTCTGAACCAGCGGATGTTGAAGCCAGCAGAGGCTGCGCTGTATACAGATGTTCTGAACGAGGTGATTGATGACTTTCTGGTTCGGCTGGACCAGCTACTGGCAGAGAGTACCACAGGGGACCATGTATCCGACATGGCCGACCTGTTCTACCACTTTGCTTTGGAAGGTACCAGTGCTGGGTTGAGGGACTAGGGGTGGGAATGGGTCGGGGGTAGGTTGTTTGCTCCCCATCCTCAAGTCCCTCTGGATCCTGTGTACCATGGCACTGCCTCCTGTGATGACCTCTGCACCACACCCTGGCTTCTGACGATGCCCAGCTATTTGCTCCATCCTGTTTGAAAAACGTGTTGGCTGCCTGGAGCCATCTATCCCCGAGGACACCTTGGCCTTCATCAGATCTGTCGGGCTCATGTTCCAGAACTCTCTCTATGCCACCTTCCTCCCCAAATGGACCCGTTCCCTGCTGCCGTTCTGGAAGCGATACCTGGACGGCTGGGACACCATCTTCTCCTTCGGTGAGGAATCCCAGAGTGGAGCCAAAAAAGGAAGTTGGGGGTGGGCCCCAATGTTTGACCATTAGTAGCCTCCCCCAGGACCTTTTCCCTCAAGAGCTGGACTAGCTCTTTGTCCCTGGAGATCATGACTTTTGACCTCATCCTCCCTCATCCTCTATTATCCCTGCAGGGAAGAAGCTGATTGATCAGAAACTGAAGGAGATAGAAGCTCAACTGCAGGCAGGGGAGCCAGCTGAGGTCCAGGTATCTGGCTACCTGCACTTGCTGCTGACCAGCGGACAACTCAGTTCTCAAGAGGCTATAGGCAGCTTGCCTGAGCTGCTCATGGCTGGAGTGGACACGGTGCGTGGGGGGGGGCAGCAAGAAGACCAGGGGCTCCCAGCTTCCATGCTGAACAAATTTCCCATTATCCCTCACCTGATCCTGACCGTTCCTTCAGGTACCTGCTTCTCTTTTTATAACATGGACATAGAGCTAAAAGGAAAGCAGAGGGGTCATGCAGCCCAGCTGAGGGAGGCAGGGATGGTCTTCAGGGTATTCTTTAACCACCTACAACCTCCTTGCTCTCTCTGACAGCCAGGAAGTTACATCTCACATCTAACTCAACCCTCTCTTGCTGTCTCTTAAAACCATTTCTCCTCATTTGATTCTGGGCAGAGTGGAGCTTGTCCGTGAGCATTTTCTTTCTCTGACCTGTTTCCAATCCTGTAGTCATGCTGGGTTTCTCTTTGTTACAGTCTCTTCCTGTTGCTAATGTGCTATTCTCCAATATCTTTCTTGGTCCTCATTCTTCTGTGGATTTATTTAATGTGGAGGTCCCCATGAACCCCCTTGTCTTTTTCTGCCATGTTTGTGGCACATTTGTTTTTCTCCTGCATTTTGTATGCACCCACTCCCCCACCCTCCCTGCTCCCAGTTGGCCTTTTTCCTAGAAATGCCTGCCTCCTCACTTTATCTCTTACTCTACTTCCAGACATCCAACACACTGACATGGGCCCTCTACCACCTGTCAAAGAATCCAGCGGTCCAGGAGGCCTTACACAAGGAGGTGGTGGGTGTGGTGCCAGCCGGGCAGGTGCCTCAGTACAAAGACTTGGCTTGCATGCCCCTGCTGAAAGCTGTGATTAAGGAGACCCTGCGGTAGGATGCTATTCCCAGGGGCACAGGGTCTGTATGGAAGGAATGAGAAACGGGAGTGGGAAATAGGGCCTGGGGCTGGGGACCAGAAAGGTGGGGGTTCTCTACCTCTCTTTGGATCCAGAACTAGACCTTGAACTCCCTTTCTCTCACAGCCTTTATCCTGTGGTCCCCACAAACTCACGAATCATCATGGAAAAGGAAGTTGAAGTTGGTGGCTTCCTCTTCCCCAAGAATGTGAGTGGGGTTAGAGAACCCAGGTTCCCAGGGGTGCCCCACAACCCTGTGTGATGAGCTGCACATTCTTCTGCAGACCCAGTTTGTGCTTTGCCACTATGTGGTGTCCCGGGACCCCAGCACCTTCCCTGAGCCTGAGAGCTTCCAGCCCCAACGCTGGCTGAGGAAAAAGCAGCCTGATGCCCTTGGGATCCACCACCCATTTGGCTCTGTGCCCTTTGGGTATGGGGTCCGGTCTTGCCTGGGCCGCAGGATTGCTGAGCTGGAGATGTACCTGCTGCTGTCAAGGGTGAGTGGAGGAGAGACTGGAGGGGTGTGCGGGCCAGGGAGGGGTGAAGGAGACATCAAGAAGAAGGAAAGGAGGTAGGGTACAGGGCAGGAACGTGCCAAAGAGAGCAGTGGATGGAGGTCACAGACTCTAACTGCTTCTGTGTGCTTCTCACCTCCCAGCTGATCCAGCGGTACCAGGTGATGCTGGCCCCTGAGATGGGGGAGTTGAATAGTGTAGCCCGCATCGTCCTCGTTCCCAACAAGAAAGTGGGCCTGCGCTTCCTGCAGCGACAGTGCTGAGCTGGGGTCTTGGCCCTGGCTCAGTGATTCCTGGCCATGGCTGTGTCTCAAATGAGGAAAGGAAGGGGGGGCTACCAGGCCTGAGAGGTTGGAGGAATTTGGTGCACTTCTCATGACACCCTGAGGTTTCACCACTTCCATCTGTTTTAAGCATCTCCCTGTCATACAGGAAGCATTGCTTGTCAGCTATGCTTTGGGAAAATCTGGAATAAATGTACTTTTATTGATTACAGGGGTCCTTTGTCATTCTTTTTGTCCAGCCAATATCTAGTCCCCTTTCTGTGTTTAGGGAACACCTTCTCTCGACTTTCCATGGACTTCCCTCCATGGAAACTGAGAATGGCATATACCTTCCCAGACCTCGTAGACTGATTTCACCTTCACATGGCACTGGCTAAGGCCTCCCGGAGCAGGAGCTGCAGAAAGATTGAAGTTGGGGTCTTCCTCTTTCCCAAGAATGTGAGTGAGGTTAGATAGCCCAGGTTCCCAGGGGTGCTCCACAACCCTAAGCTGATGAGCTGCACATCAGGCACTGAATCAGTCAAGTGTCCACTGACTAATAGAAACCACCCTCTTTTAAGCAAATTGCTTACATACAGGAAATGGGGTACTATCAGAATGGTTGAAGAGCTTGAGGCAAGATCTATGGGAATGATTCTTAGAACACCCTTGGGGCACTGACCAGCTTGAGGAGCACCTCACTGGCCACAATTATTAGGATGAGGGATTGGAAAGCTAACCTACAACTATTGGCTTCAGAGCAACTCCATGTCTCCTAGATTTCTGCTGGCAGGAAAAAAAAAAAAAGGATGTCCCTATTCTGCTCTCTATACCCATGAAGCTAGTAGTAACTGGACTAGGACCTCTGCTAATGCCCCCAGCTGCCCCTGAAGCAGAAGCATGGCCTGTGCCTCACTTCCACTTTCCAAATCTCTCTTATGTGCTTCTTAGTGGTGGAATCTAAGTCATGCCTGGAACTCTAGCTGCAAAGGGGTCTGGGGATTGTAGTTCTTTAGCTTTCCAACCTTTGCAGTACAGGAAGTCAACTAGGGGGAAAGTGGGCTGTGGGTTGGTGTTAAACTCCAATGCACCATACCACAAGCCTGAACCATCTGTGAAACCCAGCCTCATAGGTCCCAGCCCTAACTATAAGTTTCTGCTGAGTCAGAGAAAAATAAGATTGAATTTCTTATGCCTCTAGGAATTGAGATTTGAACCCATGATAAAATTGTGTCATTACCCTGATTAAAATCCTTCACTGGCTCCTCTCAGTCTTCAGGCATAAATCCAAACTCTGCCCCCCCGCCACTGTCCCCAGCCCTTCCTCCCTCCACACCATTTCTATCACTGAGCCTGAAGTCCTTGCAGTTCCCTGAGCACATTATGCTCTTTCTGGTCTTAATATTTTGTACTTGCTGTCCTCTCTTCTTGGAACACCCTCTTGTTCTACCGTCATGTCATCCCAGAGAACTTGCTCTTCGCTAGGACACAGCTCAAATGTCACTGCCTCTGCAAAGCCTTCCCTGACCTCTCTGGGCACTCATGTGCACTTCCTGTTATGCCCTCTCCCAGCCCCTGAGAACTCAGCATGTTCACTTGTTGTAGACTTGACTATCTCCCCACCACCTCTGAGCTCCCTGGAGGGCACAAACATAGTTTTGTTTTGTCTTTCCTCTTTGAATCCCAGCATCTAACTCTGTGTATAGCATCTAGTTGTTGTTAGGTGCCATCTTGTTGGCTCTGACTCATAGCGACCCTGTGTACAACAGAACAAAACACTGCCCAGTCACGTGCCATCCTCACAATCCTTGCTGTCCTTGAGCCCATAGTTGCAACCACTGTGTCAATCCATTTTGCTGAGGGTCTTCCCTTTTTTTTGCTGACCCTCCACTTTACCAAGCATGATATCCTTCTCCAGGGAATGGTCCCTTTGATAACATGTGCTTAATTGAATGAAGGGAGCTCTGGTAGCATAGTGCCTAAGGCACTGGACTGCTAACCAGAAGGCTGGTGGTTCAAACCCACCAGCCACTCCTCAGAAGGAAGGTTGGGCAATCTACTTCCGTAGTGATACCACCTTGGAAACCCAAGAAGGGGTCGCTGTGAGTCGGGGGGGTTGGCAAATAACAACAACAAACTGAATGAAAGGAGTGGAAGGAAGGGAAGGGGAGCTTCCCATAGTGAAAAGAAGAACCTGGAAGGAATTGGCAGAAATTCCTGATAATAACAGCATTTCTCTCAACCCCACCTATGCTGTAAGTTCACCCATGGGAACTCCTTATCAATGCAAGAATGGGAGTTGGGCTAAGAGGACACCAGGAGCTCTGTCACAATCAACCACAGAGTGGATTTCGGCTCCCCTTCCATGAGGACCCCTAGTGGGCTGCTCCTTCAGAAGCAGGGCTGAGCTGCTGGACTCACGTGAGCTCCTCGGTGCCAGCACCTTAGATGGGAAGAAGATTGTATGATGTGGCTTGTGACTGGGGTTTATAGCAGCTGTGAAAGAGAGTATCTGTGTTCATAGTCTGCAACTCAGGTAATGAATTTATAGGCTAATCTTGCATCAAAATCTATGAAGATCTAGTATATCCATGCAATAGATTATTATCACCATAGAAAAGGAATGAAGTGCTGGTTTGTGCTACATGTGTATGAGAGCTTAAAGTCTAAAGCACTGTGGTCTACAGTGGGAGCCCTAACTCCATTTTGAATCTTGACGTAAGTTCGCATGCCAGTTGAATTCTTTCTGACCTTCAACTTTGTGGTGGTGCATAGCCAAGTTCCAGGACAAACCTGGGGAGGGGCAGTTTGCCCTCAGGAAGAGTGTAGTTGGAAGCAGAGTATCCTCACATGAAGAACTAGGGAACTTGCCTGAGTGTGTCCTTTTCTAATTTAAGATTGGGGTCTTGGTTTTGTTTAGTAGCCACCTTGTGGCTAAGACTCAGGCCAAATGGTCAGGAGTCATATCTGGACCACCCCCTAACTAGATGGTCAAGACCCGGAACTAATATTGTCACCCTTCTTTATTTTCAATTATGTATGTGTCCCAATCATGGTCTTTTCCCTGCTTCCCACCTGCAACAGTGATGAGTTGATCTGTCGCCAGTCATGGTTTTGTGATGATTCCCTTTGTTTTCAATCATGTATAATTAGCCCCATAGCTGTGACTCAGCAGACTCCACTTAGCTATGTACACGCTGTGTACATGCTGATGGTTTCCCTCATCCTGGATGATTGTCTTTGTCCTGTCCAAGGCTTAATAAAAGTCCCTCCATTCAACTTTTTTGAATCTGAGGTCTCTTTTCCCCTGTCACACATAGATAAAACTTTAAAACATTATACTAAGTGAAATAAGCCAGATATGAAAGACCACTTATTGCATGATTCTGTTTATATGGAATATCTGGAATAGGCAAACCCATAGAGACAGAAAATAGATTAGTGGTTGCTAGGGCACTGGGAAAGGGAGAATGGGGAGTGACTGCTAATGAATAAGAGTTTTCTTTTGGGAAAGATGAAAAGGTTCTGGAATTAGATAGTCATGTTGGTTGGGCTTTGTGGATATACTAAATAATACTGAATTGTACACTTGGAAAGTGTAAATTTTATGTAGGTGAGTTATATTTTAATTGGAAAGAAACTATGAAGATCAGTTTAAGACTAGTGTAGAAATAGCTGCTCGTGTAAGCTGTTCCTGTCAGAGATTCTTGAGCATCGCCAACACCCTGGAGGCACCACCGGAACTTCTGAAGCAGCACCACCCTGTTGTGCGTCTGTGTTGTCTTTGTTGTGTGCTGTCAAGTTGATTTTAACTGATAGTGATCCCAAAGGACACAACAGAACAGCCCATAGGGCTTCCTAGGCTATAATCTTCACAGGAGCGGATCACCCGGTCTCTTCTCCAGTGGAGCGGCTGGTGGGTTCAAGCTGAAGACCTTTTGGTTAACAGCCAGGCACTTAACAACTGAATCACCAGGAGCCCTTTGTGCAAAAACCCAAACTCACTGCTCTGGAGTCTGTTCAGACTCATAGTGACCCCTCCTTGGGTTTCTGAGGCCGTATCTTTATGGAAATAGATTGCCCAGTCTTCCTTCTGAGGAGTGGCTGGTGGGTTTGGACCATCAGCCTTCTGGTTAGTAGTCAAATGCCTTAGGCACTACCAAAAAAAAAAGAAAAGAAAAACTCATTGCCAGAGTTGATTTTGACTCTTAGCGACCCCTCCTTAGGTTTTTGAGGCAGTATCGCTATGGAAGTAGATTGCCTAACCTTCCTTCACAGAGTGGCTGGTGGGTTTGAACCATCAACCTTCTGGTTAGCAGTCAAATGCCTTAGGCACTACACCACCAGAGCTCCTTATGAAGGAGCCCCAAAATACATATGTCAAACTTTAACAGAAATGAAGAGAGAAATCAACAATTTCACATAACAGCAGGAGAGTTTAATGTACTACTTTCAATGAAGGACAGAACAACCAGAGAGAAACTCAACAAAGACACAGAAGAACTAAATAACACAATCAACCAAGTTGACCTCATATATATGTACAGAACACTCCACCCCTCAACAATGCAATATACATTCTTTTCCAGCTCACACACAAAGTTCTCCAGAATAGACCATATGTTAGGTCACAAAGCAAGTCTCAATAAATGTGAAAACATAGAAATACTGCAAAGCATCTTCTCAGATCACAACACTATAAAATTAGAAATCAACAACAGGAAAACCAAGGGAAAAAATCAAACACATGGAAACTGAATAACACTCTCCTTAAAAACTACTGACTAGGCTAAGGCACTTGACTGCTAACCAGAAGGCTGGCAGTTCAAACCCACCAGCCACTCCTTGGAAGGAAGACTGGGCAATCTACTTCCATAGTGATATTGCCTCGGAAACCCAAGGAGGGGTCACTATGAGTCCGATCCACTCAATGACAAATAACAACAACAACAATAGAAGAAATAAAAAATTAAATGAGAATGAAAACACAACATACCAAA